GAGCTGGACACTTTGTCCAATGCAAAACGTGCACATTCCATTTTGGGGTGCAGAGCAGGTGGGATTGTATCAATTTTACCAATTAGTCTGAGCTAAATAGAGTGACAATGGGTGCATCTACTTTGGAGAATTAATGCAGTTTGAGGCTACTTTAACTGCCATGGCTACAGGTGAGGTTTGGTGAGTCACCAAGCCTCTGTGGCAAAGAAAAGACCCTATAAAGCTACATCTCCTAGGACTGATAGCACTGAGATATGATAGAACAGAATTGTAATTCCAGAGAACATAGTTAGAATTTATTGTTTTGTTTTTCTTTGTTCTCTATTAGTTCTTTGTTAGGTTAGTTTAGTGATAGGTTTCAATTTGGTATGTAGCAGGTAGATTGTGATTATGTATTGTCGAAGGCTTTCATGGCTGGAATCACTGGGTTGTTGTAGGTTTTTCGGGCTATATGGCTATATTCTAGAAGCATTCTCTCCTGACATTTTGCCTTCATCTATGGCAGTGTTTCTCAACCTGGGGGTCGGGACTCCTGAGGTGGTCGCGAGGGGGTGTCAGAGGGGTCGCCAAAGACCATAAGAAAACACAGTATTTTCTGATGCTCATGGGGATTCCATGTGGTAAGTTTGAGCCAATTCTATCGTTGGTGGAGTTCAGAATGTTCTTTGATTGTAATGAACTATAAATCCCAGCAACTACAACTCCCAAATGGCAAGATCTATTTTCCCCAGACTCCACCAGTGTCCACATTTGGACATATTGAGCATTCGTGCCAAGTTTGATCCAGATCCACCATCACATGAGTCCACAGTGCTATCTGGATATAGGTGAACTACAACTCCCAAACTCAAGATCAATGCCCATCAAACCCTTCCGGTGATTTCCATTCGTCATGGGAGCCAAGTTTGGTTCAAATCCATCGCTGGTGGAGTCAGAATGCTCTTTGATTAGAAGTGAACTATAAATCCCAGAAACTACAACTCCCAAATTACAAAATCAATCCTCCCCAACCCCACTAGCATTCAAATTTGGGTGTATTGGGTATTTGCGCCCAGTTTGGTCCAGTGAATGAAAATGCATCCTGCATATCAGATATTTACATTATGATTTATAACAGTAGTAAAATGACTGTTATGAAGTAGCAATGAAAACAATATTATGGTTGGGGGTCACCACAACATGAGGGACTGTGTTAAGGGGTCACGGCATTAGGAAGGTTGAGAACCACTGATCTATGGCAAGCATCCTCAGAGGTTGTGAGCATCTCAGAGGTTGTGAGACTTCACAACCTCTGAGGATACTTGTCATAGAGGCAGGCGAAATGTCAGGAGAGAATGCTTCTAGAACAGTGCTTCTCAACCTTCCTAATGCCGCGGCCCCTTAATACACTTTCTCATGTTGTGGTGACCCCCAACCATAACATTATTTTCATGGAGGCTTCATAACTGTAATTTTGCTACGGTTATGAACTGTAATGTAAATATCCAATATGCAGGATGTATTTTCATTCACTGGGCCAAATTTGGCACAAATACCCAAAACACCCAAATGTGATACTACTGGGATTGGGCGAGGGATTGATTGTGTAATTTGGGAGTTGTAGTTACTTTCATTTATAGTTCACCTACAATCAAAGAGCATTCTGAACTTCACCAATGATACAATTGAACCAAACTTGAACCAGAAAATACTCGAAGGGTTTGATGGGCATTGACCTTGAGTTTTGGAGTTGTAGCTCACCTACATCCAGAGACCACTGTGGACTCAAACAATGATGGAACTGGACCAAACGTGACAAGAATACTCAATATGCCCAAATGTGAACATTGGTGGCATTTGGGGAAAATAGACATTGACAGTTGGAAGTTGTAATTGCTGGGATTTATAGTTCAACTACAATCAAAGAGCATACCGAACCCCACCAACGATAGAATTGGCTCAAACTTTCCATGCAGAACCCCCATGACCAACAGAAGATACTGTGTTTTCTGATGGTCTTTGGCGACCCCTCGGACACCCCCTCACGACCTCCCTAGGGGTCCCAACCCCAAGGTTGAGAACTAATGTTCTAGAACATTGCCATATAGCCCAAAAAACCTCCAAGAACCTAGATTGTGATAGTTTATTTTTATTATATGTAGATTTTACAAACAAGAAACACACATACATATATAGGTCTTCCTTTCTCCAATATGAGTGTCATATTTGTCTTTAATTTTACCATTATGTAGCTTGTAGTAGGTAGATTGGATTTTGTGTTTGTTTTATGTGGTATTTGTATTTTTACATACAAAGCTATATCTATGTCTATATCTACACCTATGAGGCTTCTCCTCCTAACATTTTGTTGGCCCTTGAAAAGCTCCTTTACCATCTCCCCCTGCATTTCCAAATATTCTTCTTTTCTCCCCTGGAAACTGGCCCCCAAACCCATAGTTGTTACCCAACCCATAGTTGTTACCCAACCAAGTTCCATACTGTGCAGAAAGACTGTGGTTATCATAGTGAAAGTCTTGCAGACGTCTCTTCTGGTGCAATTTTTGCAGGAAGAAGATGGGAGATTAGATAGGTCAGAACGATCCCGTAGCCATGGAGGAGGGGAACGGAACGTGCTTTCCCAATTCAGAAACAGTGGGATGCAAGAGGCATTACTCAGGCCGCAAGAATGTCCAGGAGCAGAGAGACGTGGGTGGGATCCACCTCTGAGATCCAGCGTGAGGTCATTCCATGAACTCCGTGGTTGGTTCAACCTTTCCATAGCGTTGGCCAGAGCTACAAAGGTCACCTAGTCCAAACCCCTTTTGTGCCGATGAAAAACAGCACTAGTATTTATTTGTCGTGTCAGGGCAACCAGTCAATTGTATACATTTCTAACAGAACAAAACAGACAGACAAAATACAAAATTTGCGAGTTTGGTAGTTGATTAAATGTCCTTTAACCAGTATCTGGCCACTTGGAGTGCCTCTGGTGTTGCCGCAAGAAGGTCCTCCATGTGGCAGGGCTCAGGGTGCATTGCAGCAGGTGGTCAGTGGTTTGCTCCTCTCCACACTCACATGTCGTGGATTCCACTTTGTGGCCCCATTTCTGAAGGTTGGCTCTGCTTCTCGTGGTGCCAGAGCGCAGTCTGTTCAGCGCCTTCCAAGTCGCCCAGTCTTCTGTGTGCCCGGGGGGGGGAGGGGGGTCTCTCATTTGGTATCAGCCATTGGTTGAGGCTCTTGGTTTGAGCCTGCCACTTTTGGACTCTCGCTTGCTGAGGTGTTCCAGCGAGTGTCTCTGTAGATCTTAGAAAACTATTTCTAGATTTAAGTCGTTGACGTGCTGGCTGATACCCAAACAGGGGATGAGCTGGAGAGCACTAGTGAAAGGCAACAAGCTGGAAGGTGCCCAGCAAAATGATCAAAGTTCTAGAAGCCAAGCCCTATGAGGAGCTGTTGAGGGAGCTGGGTAGGTTTACCTTGGAAAAAAGAAGGCTGAGGGAAGGGGACTTGGTAATCATGTTATTTACTTGAATGATACACTGCAAGGTTGATGTTCCATGCTTCAAGTTCTGGGCCTGAGATCTCTAGGCCTGGGATAGTCCTGACCTGGCAACCGTAATGTTACTCCACATTTAGGTGGTAGGTTGCTGTTGTTGTTATTCATAAACTGCTTTTTCTCTCTGAAGAGACTCATTGGTGAACAGTGATACAAACAATACATGTTCAAGTCTTGGCGGTGTTGCAAGGATCTCCAAAGGGAGTTTTGTCTTGACAGATACTCATCCTCAGACGCTCTTGCCAAAGGAGTAGCTCTCAAAACAGGTCTTACACGAATGAGTAGGAGCATGATTAATATGTTGAGATGCGTGATCCTTCCCTACCCTTTGGACAAGAGAAAAGGAGTTAGGATGTGCTGTAATATTAACAGCAAAACCTTCATATTTATAGTGTTGATGTGGTCTCTGACTCCCCAAAGAAGCATGTGTCCTCAAGGATTAACGTGTTTTCTCTCTGACAATGGGATCTTCTCAAATAGGCAATGAGATTTGCAAATGAATCCTAGATTTAGCTTCCACAAAAATACCTGAAATGTAAGATGATGGAAATCATGTGTCATGATAAACTGGCATCTCAAAGGAGCATCTCTTCCAAAGACATGCTAAGCTTAGTGTTCTGTCGCGTGCTGGGCCTGTAAAGAATTTCCTTTAGAACAGGACGTGCAGCCTTTGTCCAGCGGGAAGCCAGGGGCCCCCAAAGAAAAGTTCTCAGGGGTTTTCCACCACAAATGACCTTTAGAAGGCTTTTATTAATGAACAATCAAACAGAAACTTATCTTGTATTCAATAAAGCTAAACAAATGCTTCCAAGCTTTATGCAACTGGTGACTTCCTAATCTTGCCCACGAAGGACAGGCAACTGTCTTCAATAACTTCTTCTTTACTTTAAAGGAAAATCCCCTTTTTAACTTCTCCCAGGCTGACTATAATCTAACCCTTACTGATGTGGGCTCTGCTACCGGGTTGAACTGCGTCTCGAAGCACCGAGTGGACCTACCAGTGAAGGCTTAGATATTCTCCAGCTGGAGTTCTTTGGTCTTTAGGGCTGTTTTCCTGGAAATCTTTGGAGACTCTTAAGACTATTTCCCCCTGGAAAGTCTTGGATGCTCTTAAGACTGTTTTCCCCTGGATAGTCTTAAGGGTTGAAGCTTTTGTACAGGGGAAGCTTGCACACGTCCTGTACATTAGCTTTCCTTGCTGAGACTAACTAAAAATGGCTCCCTTCCCTTCCCAATTGCCCTGAGCAAGGGGCGGAATCAAACTTAACGATGATGGACAGGTGACTTGCCCTATGACTGCAACCAAAGGAAGCCACCTATCTGCAGAGTCCCTGAAACCCAAGGCTGCAAGCAAATATTTAATACAAAGCAAATGAATTTGGAGCTCCTGGTACAGCCGTACCTTCACACTTAGCCTTTCCAGTGTGAATGCTTTTGCAAACCGATTTTGTGCATTCTTCCGCAGGCAACTTGCAGGCAACGCGAGCCTTGATGGTGGCCAGCATCCTCCTGGGTCTCATTGCGTCCTTCGTCGCCATGATTGGCATGAAATGCATGAAGTGCCTGGAGGACGATGAAGTCAAGAAGATGAGGATGGCAGTTCTCGGGGGCATCATCTTCCTTATCTCAGGTGAGGAACATCAGGTTGAAACCCACAACTACACAGAACAAGCCATGTGTTCCCAGGATCAGTATCCGTGTCTGGAAAACAATATTCTCTCTAGATATTTTCTAGGTCTTCCAAAATAATTCTGTGCTATGCTTCCACAGAAGTTGACCTCACATGGAAACCTAGACATACTAGAGAGGTCTTCTGTCTAGGTATTTTGTTGGTCCTCCAGCAAAGTTTTATAGCATGCTTTTACCAGAAGTTGACTACAGATTGGACAGATCGTGTTTTTGGATCTCGGAATATTAATGAGGTCTTCTCTCTAGGCCAGTGGTTCTCAACCTGGGGTCCCAATATGTTTTTGGCCTACAACTCCCAGAAATCCCAGCCAGTTTACCAGCTGCTAGGATTTCTGGGAGTTGAAGGCCAAAAACATCTGGGGACCCCAGGTTGAGAACCACTGCTCTAGGCATTTTCTACATCCTCCAGCATAATTTTACAACAGGCCTATCCTGGAAGCTGACCTTAGAAATGTGCTGGAGGATCTGGACATGTTAGTAGGTAGTAATCTATCTAAGCATTTTCTAGGTCTTCCAGCATGATGTGCCTGGTTGTTCTCAGAGACATCATCTTCCTCGTTTCAGGTCAAGATCCTTCTTGTCTTGGAGTCATGCTGAAGAACCTAGAAATGCATATGTGGTATTCTCTCTAGGCATTTTCTAGGTTCTTTAAGCACAATGCTTTCACTGGAAGTGGTTCTGAAATAAAACCCTCCTGGTGGAGTTATGATGGAAGACCTGGAAAATGCTATGCTTTATCCATAGTTCTGTGTTTCCACAGTAAGTCCAGGATGACTCCCTCAAAGATATGGGGGGCATACTATACTGTTAGCGCTGCTCTTTTTGCAGCAGCCCCAACCAGAAGGAGATCTCTGTTGGAGGTGGAACACCAGCAGAGCCACTGTAGGAATGGATCCTTTTCCATCATGAAGTTCATGCCCACTTCCACCCAGAGGTCATGACTTACCTTGGACCATGACAAAACCTGTGTGTCCCTCCTTGAGAACCTCTTCTATGGACTCACTGCCTGTTCCTCTCTCTCTCTCTTCCCCATTTACAGGCTTCGCCACCTTGGTAGCCACGTCATGGTATGGGAATGTCATCGCCCAGGAGTTCTTCAACCCATTCACTCCAGTCAACACCAGGTAAGGTGGGAGTCGGTTCTAGGGAATGGAAGGGGCTTCAACAACCTTCCCTTAGACTACAAAAACCATCAGACCCAAAGTTGCCTCTCTACACTTGCATCCATTCTATAGTTGAGATATACTGTAAGGCAAGCATGGGCAAACTTGGGCCCTCGAGGTGTTTTGGACTTCAACTCTCACAATTCCCATATTTTTAATGATGTAACCAATTAGGAAATGACGTTTATGACCCAGTAACAAAATTCATCTTACGTAGTGTAATGAAAGAGCATCATTTCTAGTTATGAAGATGCACCTGGCTGAATTATAATTTTTAATAATTGGTAAAAGAAGAATTTCTGTGTTAAATTGCTAATGTTGGTTCAGTAACACAGCAGAGATGGGAGGGGGAAGCTGGTAAGGAAAACTTAATCTTAGCTGAAATGTGAAGAACTAGGTTTTCACAGTAATGGATCACTCTGACCCAAGTTTTGGTCTACAGAAATGGCCAAAAGGTAAGATAAAACTGTTGCAAACTGGAAAACAGTGGCTTCATTTGGTGGGGAAAGAAATGAAGAAGGCAGAGTTAGAGGAGGAACAAGAACTGGGGTGGAAAGGGGGGTGTAACTGGGAGGACCATGGAGAGGGGTGAAGAAATGTTAGTGTGTAGGCATGTGCAAAAAAAATTGGAAGTTTCGGAAATCGTAAGAAATCGGACGTTTTGTAAGTTGGAACCCATATTCGGAGCGTTTGTGTGGCCCTCACCAAATATTTTAGAATTCCTTTTCCACTTAAGCAGCTGGGGGGGGGGAGGAAGGGGCCCGAGGCTGTTAGGAATTTTGGGAGTTGAGTCCAAAACACCTGGAGAGCCAAAAGTTTGCCCATGCCTACTATGTTGTCACAACCCTGCACAGCGTCTCTCAGTATAAACCGTCACTCACTATGCTCGTCGTCAGTCAGTCCGGGGTCAAAGCCAAAGTAGATTCAAACAACAAACTATGCAGGGATAATCCAGAAGGCATAGTCAATAGTTCAGTCCAAAGATCCTCACCAACACATCCAAACTATATGTTGTCCAAAGTCCAAAGTCAAGGTCTAGCACACGATAAGTGTCATGATGCCAGGGCTCTGCCAATATTTAGGTAGAGATGAACCAAACTCCCAGTTTGTATAAACAAAATGGCTGAGGGAGAAAAGGAAGGGGCCTGAGGTTGTTAGGAATGGTGGGAGTTGAGTCCAAAACACCTGGAGAGCCAAAAGTTTGCCCATGCCTGCTATATTGTCCCAACCCTGCACAGCGTCTCTCAGTATAAACCGTCACTCACTATGCTCGTCGTCAGTCAGTCCAGGGTCAAAGCCAAAGTAGATTCAAACAACAAACTATGTGGGGATAATCCAGAAGGCATAGTCAATAGTCCAGTCCAAAGATCCTCACCAACACATCCAAACTATATATAGTCAAAGTCAAGGTCTAGCACACAATAAGTGTCACAATGCCAGGGCTCTGCCAATATTTAGGCAGAGATGAACCAAACTCCCAGTTTGTATAAACAATTTAATTAAAACAGCATTTACTTTCTGGCTGTTTTACTAGTCTAAAATATAAAACGAAGATTGCACTCAGCCACAGAATATAAAACAAAAACAGCAAACACTGTTAAAGGTTCAAGATAACTCCATAGTCAAAAGGTTCAGTCCAATGGACAAATGCTGAGATTTCAATAAACAAAGTCCAGGGATCAAGAGTCTATACCGTAGTCAAAAGCCAGTCCAAAGATGCAAGGTTTCAAGATTCCAAAGATTCAGGAGACAGGTCAGGACACTGAAAATCCACAAACCTGGGGAAAAACCAGCAGCATCTACCACCAAGATAAAACAAATACTTTTCTCCCAAAGATCAGTCCCAAGGCTAGCTCCTTATATCCAGAAACACCCAGCTGCAACCCATCTCTTGCATACTTCCACCCTTAATTGCTTTCACACATGAACTCTTACTTACAGATTACTCAACCCTTTAGAAATAAGACTTGTATTAACCCTTCCATCAACAACTGCTAGGCCTACCAACCACCATCAATTGCAGAACATGATACATACACAAACTCATACGACAGAGCTGTAACAGGTTCCAAACATTGCTCCCAGCAAAGGCCAAATCCAAACTGTCACTCTTAGAATCATAGAATCAAAGAGTTGGAAGAGACCTCATGGGCCATCCAGTCCAACCCCATTCTGCCAAGAAGCAGGAATATTGCATTCAAATCATCCCGTGCTCCATAGCACAAGTGCTCTCACCTGTTGGCTCTTCTCTGTGCCAACCAGGTGGATCTACGCAGCTGAATAGCATGAGTCCTCAGTTGCAGTCTTTCTGGGATACTTGACTCTGCCTCATTGCTCTCCTGATTCTGATCGAACACAGGACTCCTGAGGCACTTGGTCCTGCACTGCACGAATAGCTTCCTCAGTATCAGGCTGTAGCTGTTGTTCTTCCCTGCTTTCCACTGACTCAGCTGCTGGGCCTGGCAGCCCTTCATTTTTGTCTGCATTGCAGATCCTGACATATAGAATCATAGAATCAAAGAGTTGGACCTCCTGGGCCATCCAGTCCAACCCCATTCTGCCAAGAAGCAGGAATATTGCATCCAAATCACCCCTGACAGATGGCCATCCAGCCTCTGTTTAAAAGCTTCCAAAGAAGGAGCCTCCACCACACTCCAGGGCAGAGAGTTCCACTGCTGAACGGCTTTCACAGTCAGGAAGTTCTTCCTCATGTTCAGATGGAATCTCCTCTCTTGTAGTTTGAAGCCATTGTTCCATTGCGTCCTAGTCTCCAGGGAAGCAGAACACAAGCTTGCTCCCTCCTCCCTGCGGCTTCCTCTCACATATTTCATAGAATCATAGAATCAAAGAGTTGGAAGAGACCTCATGGGCCATCCAGTCCAACCCCATTCTGCCAAGAAGCAGGAATGTTGCATTCAAATCACCCCTGACAAATGGCCATCCAGCCTCTGTTTAAAAGCTTCCAAAGAAGGAGCCTCCACCACATTTATGCATGACTATCATATCTTCTCTGAGCCTTCTCTTCTTCAGGCTAAACATGCCCAGCTCCTTAAGCCGCTCCTCATAGGGCTTGCTCTCCAGACCCTTGATCCTTTGAGTCCTCTGGACACATTCCAGCTTGTCAACATCTCTCTTGAATTGTGGTGCCCTGAATTGGACACAATATTCCGGTCACCACAATTCAAGAGAGATATTAACAAGCTGGAATGTGTCCAGATGTAGCGTGCAATGTGTGACCAAGAGAAACATAGAGAAAGGTGCCCATCTTGGAAATAGGGTGTGGCATTCAGGCCATTACAGAGCCAATGTGGCAAGTTTCTCTGTTATAATGTCCTTGTTTCTGGTCTCATTTGGGAAGCAAGGCCAGGAATATTTGGAGAAAAGCTTGTTTGTTGAGTTGAGCTGTGCTTGACCACATGTCATTGCTTCTTCTTCCTCCCAGGTTCGAGTTTGGCCCGGCGCTCTTTGTGGGCTGGGCGGCGGCCTCGCTGGTCCTCTTGGGAGGGGCCTTCCTCTGCTGCTCCTGCCCCCGGAAGGAGACCTCCTACCCCCCAACCCGGCCTTACCCCAAAAGCGCCCCGTCCGCCGGGAAGGATTACGTATAATGAGGCCGAACGGCGCCGGAGGAGGAACACCGCGGCCTTGGAGAACCCACAGGGACTTGTTCAACCACCGTTTCCCCAAATGCAACAACCAAAGCCTTGGGCTTACTGCCTGTACAACCAACATGTATCTGTATATAGATATCTATACACACATGCCTCATTCCTTGTAGTCCTGGATGGGCAGTTGTGGTTTCATGCATTTGATCCAACGGAGAATCCCAGTCCCAATTTGTAGATATCCACAGCAAAAGGGCGAGAAATCGGCACGTGATCATTGCACTTGTTGGGAATCTATTACTCTTCCTTTGGGAAAAAGAAACACCCCCAAAATGTTGTTTTCTATATATATATTTGGCAGCAAATGTTTGTGATTGTAACGCATTCCTCTCCTGTCCTTTCAATCCCATCCCTTTGCATATACTTCTATATTGGCAGAAGATAGGGTGCCAAAAATCATGAAGAATGCTTGGCTGGATCAAAAATCTTTTTTTTTTTTTTTGAATGTGTGGATATGCTAAAGCTTTGGTTCGATTCCTTCCATCTTTCCGTGGGCATAAAGATCAGGAATAAATGAGAATGCAGGGTGAATAGGGCTAACGATGGGAGAGTTTCCATCTTTCCCAAACACTATGAAAAAGGAGTGGAAGAGACAGTGTGGTTTGTGTCTTATAGGATTCCAGAAAGCTGGGGTTCAAGTCCCATATTGAAACCCTTTGGGAGACTTTGGGTCTCTTTCTAAACTGGTCCACAAGGAAGTTTCTGATCCCAGATTATCTGCGTTGAGCTGAATTATATGGCAGTGTAGACTCATATAATCCAGTTCAAAGCAGATCATCTGGGAGTTGTCATTTTGCAAGGCCTTAGCCTCACCAGGCTGTGGTTCCCAAAATTCCATATCCTTGAGTCACAGCACTCAAAGTGGTGCCAAACTGCAATAATTCTACCATGTAGATGCATACACATCGTAACAAATGGCTAAGGCAACCCCGGTGGCGCAGTGGGTTAAAGCACTGAGCTGATGAGCTCAAATTTGGCACACAGAACTCCCATGACCTACAGAAAATATTGGAAGGGTTTGGTGGACATTGACCTTGAGTTTGGGAGTTGTAGTTCACCTACATCCAGAGAGCACTGTGGACTCAAACAATGATAGATCTGGAACAAACTTGGCATGAATACTCAATATGCCCAAAGGTGAACACTGGTGGACTTTGGGGAAAATAGAATCTTGACATTTGGGAGTTGTAGTCGCTGGGTTTTATAGTTCACCTATAGGCCCCCGGGGGCTCAGTGGGTTAAAGCACTGAGCTGCTGAGCTTGTTGATCGAAAGGTCGCAGGTTCGATTCCGGGGAGCGGCGTCAGCTTCCGCTGTCAGCCCTAGCTTCTGCCAACCTAGCAGTTCGAAAACATGCAAATGTGAGTAGATCAATAGGTACCGCTCCGGCGGGAAGGTAACGGCGCTCCATGCAGTCATGCCGGACACATGACCTTGGAGGTGTCTACGGACAACGCTGGCTCTTCGGCTTAGAAATGGAGATGAGCACCACACCCCAGAGTCAGACATGACTGGACTTAATGTCAGGGGACAACCTTTACCTTTACCTTAAGGCAACCCCATCCTGTACTTGCACCCGGTCCTATCTCTTTCCAAGGCTGGCCCAAGGCCTTTCCTTGTCTGTAGTGAGGGACTAAATGACATATTTACTTTGGGGGCCCCACACTGTCCAATTGATGAAGTTAATATGATTTTTCCCCACACAATTTGTCATAGGGTTCGTTGGGTGAATCTTCTGCAATTTGACCCAAATGTGCACCCGGACATATCTGTCTTCGTCCATTCAGTTGGCCCACAAGGGACAGGGAGGGAATGGCTTTTCTATGAGGAAAACTTGTATAAAGTATTATAACAGTTTTCAATAAATGTAACCTCTTTTTTGTAAAGAACACACGCCTCCGTTTTCCCAGTCCTTTTGCTTCTTGGTCGGTGAGGAAATGAAAAAAAAAACTTTGTGGGGAAATGATTCTCTTACTATTGCAACGAGATTGTACTGACCTAGGCAAGGAATATTTGAATTTCTTCTTCTGCTCCGAGGATATCTGAACCCCAGGTGGCCCAGTGATGAATAATTCAGGAACAGCAAAAGGAAGTGATTCTTCACACAGGGAATGAAATCTGAAATGCAGATGTTGCAACGGAGCCAGCTCAGATGGCTTTGGGGAATGGAAATGGGCAAATAATGGCCAGATAGTGTTGCAATCCAGAGCAGGGAACGAGGCCCTAAGATAACTATCCACCACACTTGACTGTGAAAAACAATCCTTTTTTATTGAAGAAAAATGGTTACAAAATAAAGGAAAAATGCAAGTCAAAAGCCACAGCAAAATCAGCAAACATGAATTTAAATGGACAAAACAAAACCCAAAGCCACACTGTAAAATACTGGAACCTGTCAGCAATTCACTAACCATGCTTGATATCCTAGAAATCTTTCAAGACCATGGCCAGGAAAACTGGGAGAACTGCCAAGGTCTTCATCAATCTGAAACGATGCCTGAACTGAGAAAGTCAGCCCGGCGGAAGGCACTTAAAGCCGAAGAATTGGTTCCGTGAACCGCCCCTCTGCTTTGAAGCCGTTGTTTGTATTTCTTTTAATCTGGAAGACCTACGCAAGCTGAGTGATTTACTTCTGTCTTGCCAAATCTGGCCCCTTCTGTTCTCATTAAGGTTACCAGGTGCAGAAGGGAGTGAAAGGTAATGGCTTCCCTCTGAAACATTCTCATGAACACTGGTACTTTCATTTTCCAAATCTACAGAAGTTCCTTCCTCACTAATTTCAGGAACATTGGCCTTTTCCAAACCTACAGAAGTTTCTTCCTCACTAATTTCAGGAGCATTGGCATCAAGAGGTACATTTCCATTAGCATCAGTAAATATATTTTCATTAGCATCAGGAGGAACAAACAGAGAATCAGGTTCAAGTTCAAACTCAGGCTGAACCCCAACAGATAGGACCTTCTGTGTGAGGTAGTTAATTTCTGTAGAGTGATTAATCCACTCCAAAGAGATAGTCTAAACCAGGCATGGGCAAGTGTGGGCCTGCTAGGTGTTTTGGACTTCAGCTCCTACAATTTCTAAGCTGGTAGTGTTCTGCCACGCCCTGGGCCTGTAATAATTGTCTTTTGAAATCGGACGTGCACCTTGTGCCCAGCGGGGAAGCCAGGGCGCCACGAAAGAGGCCCTCAAGGATTTTCCTGAAGAAATGGTCTTTAGGTGGCTTGAAAGGTTAAACAAAGTCCTTTATTATTGAACAAATTAAACAGATATTTCTCAAATCTTCAATGAGTCAAACAAATGCTTCAAGGCTTTAAATCAACTGGTGGCTTCCTTAATCTTGTCCACAAGGGACAGGCAATTGTCTTCGTTTATTGTCCTTATACTTTGAGAGGAAAACCCTTTTTTCGCCTCTCCCAGGCTGGCTGTTATCTAAGTTTTGTTGGTGTGGGATCTACTACCGATTCCAAACTGCGTCTTGGTACAGAGTAAACCTACCAGACAAAGCTTGTAGATTCTCCAGCTGGAGTTCTTTGGGTCTGTAAAGCTGTTTTCCCTCTGGAATTTCTTTAAGACTTTAGGGCTGTTTCCCTCAGATGCTGTAAGGCTGAGAGGCTGCAAGCTCCCAGCCAGAGCTTTGGGAATTTGCCCCAGAATGTCCTGAGAAAGGAAGCTTTTCTGCAGGTGAAGCTTGTCCATGTCCTCTAACTTAGCTTTCCTCACTAAGACTGACTAAAAATGGCCCCCTCTTCCCTTCCCATCTCCCTGGGAGAAGGGGCAGATCCAAACTTAACAATGATAGACAGGTGGCTTGCCCTATGACTGCAAACCAAAAGAAGCCACCCTTTTTGCAGAATCCCTGAAACTTTGGAATGCATGCAAACATTTAATAGAAAGAAAATAAAGTTGGAGCTCCTGGTACAGATGTACCAGCACAGGTAGGCTATTAGGAATTGTGGGAGCTGAAGTCCAACACACCTGGAAGGCCCAAGTTTGCCCATGCCTGGTCTAAACTCCAACAGAGACATCCAAAGTCTATCACCTAGATAGATTGGACACTATAAAAAAACTCCTTCCAAGTTCAGGCTTAAACATGATGTAGATTCCCCATGGTCTCTGCTTCCATAATCAACAGAAACAGGGCCCATAACATTAGTTGCATGAATTAACATATATGAGGAGATGGGACATGTCCTGTTTGCAGGCTGACTAGTGACTGACGGCTGTGGAAACCAGAAACAGGGCAAGACAGACCTGGCCCTAAGTAATTATTGCTTCTTTGAATTTGTGCCACCATCCCAACGTTAACATATCCAACCTTATCTGATTCTGGAAGCTAAGCAGGATCTAGTTAGTTCTTGGATGCTGAACCACCAGAAAAGATCATCAGAGATCTCCAGGTAGAGATATTGGAAGCCATTGTTGTGTGCCTTCACATCATTTCTATCTCATGGCAATGTGAAAGTAAACTCATGGGTTTTTGTATTGTCGAAGGCTTTCATGGCCAGAATCACTGGGTTGTTGTAGGTTTTTTTCGGGCTATATGACCATGTTCTAGAGGCATTCTCTCCTGACGTTTCGCTTGCATCTATGGCAAGCATCCTCAGAAGGTGAAACATCAGGAGAGATTCCCTCTAGAACATGGTTATATAGCCCGACAAAACCTACAACAACCCACTCATGGGTTTTTCTTCACAATATTTGTTCCAAAGTGGAATCACTATGGTTTGCTTCTGAGGATGACAGTGGCTTGACCAAGGTCACCTAGTGGGTTTCCATAGTCAAGCAAAGAAATGGACCCTGGTTGCTATGAATGAGAGACCATAGCAATCTCCAAGGTGGGCTAGCAAAGAATCCTGCTTGAAACCTTAGAGAATTAAGAATGCCAGTCAACGTTCATTGGCTAAATGGACCATCAGATATCTGGTTGAGCAGAGGATATGGGATGGTTTGAAAACAAAACATGGAAAAGGGATCTTGGAGTCTTAGTAGACCACGAGCTGAACATGGAACAGCTAAAAAGGCCAATGCAATTCTAGGTTGTATCCATAGGAATCTAGTCAAGGGAAGTTCTAGTCCCACTTTCTTCTGCTATGGTCAGACTTTACCTGGTATAGTGTTGTGTCCAGTTATGGGCAAGGTAATTCAAGAAGGAGATGGAGAAGATGGAATGTGTCCAGAGAAGGGTGATCAAAGTGATCAAAGGTTTGGAAACCAAGCCAGGAGAAGTGGCTTAGGGAGCTGTACATGTCTAGCTTAGAG